TGAGATCTCAGCACCACCCTGATGCCATCTACAGGACCATGCTGTTCTGGGACATGGGAACAGAGCTGGACCTGCAGGAGCCAGAGGAGGGAGGCAAGCCAGCCTGCGCCTCCCTCTATCAAAGACCCTCCAATGATTTTTCTCATCTTTCCATTCCCTGCTTGCTCTCTTTCTCCTCCTTTCCCACTCCTCCTCCCGGCCTCGGCCTCTCTGTAACAGCAAGGGTTTATCACCTCTGGGGTACAGGCAGATGCTGTTGTAGGAGCTGTGAGGAGCAGCTGGAGAATCTTCTGTCCCAGGGACATGGGTGCCTGGAGCCTTCACTTAGGCAAATCTTCCTGCCCCAATCCCCATCCTTTCATGTATTTATACCTGCTCCTGTATTTTTTACTTCATACATCTGATGAAGTGGGTTCTAGCCCACGAAAGCTTACGCCCAAATAAATTTGTTAGTCTCTAAGGTGCCACATGGACTCCTTGTTTTTTTTTGCTGATACAGACTAACACGGCTACCACTGAAACCCAACCCCTCTGTCAGTGATTCTTCTGGAGAAAGTGCTCCACGGGGTACCCTGCTGTGCCTGAGACACTGGCTCTTGGCACTCCTGAACAGCACAGCTGGGAGCACTCTATCTGTACTCAGGGATTTTCTGCTGTTGCTGCACTTGGCGCCAGTCCGTTTCCCCATGCAATGTGACTCCCTCCAGTACATCCGTTCTCAGAACATACGTCAAGAATTTGTTCCAAAAAACACTGATGGCAGAACAGAACTAGACTGCAAAGGAAAATCCAGTTTCAACTTTAACTCTAGTGCTGCTCTCAGCACCAATCCCTACAGCACTACAGAGCCAATACTGCACTCAGGACGGAGGGGCGGGGGGGCTGTGCGGGGACTGTCAGCCATCCAAGTGGGAATCGGGAGCCAAGGACAGGGTGTACTGGGAGAATGAGCCTGTTGAGAGTTCTTGATGGTATTCTGGCAGCAGCTACACTGTTCATTCAGTTTTAATGACAAGGGTTATTAAAGCCCAGGGTTATTAAAGCCCAGGGAGCGCGATCTGGAACTGAGCTGAAAGCCATCAAGTCACAGTCAAGCCACGGAAGGGATCCACCTGCGCTGTATCTAACATTGTCCAAAGGATTGTTCGGGGTGACGTTCCTGTATGGATTTCTCCCTTGGAGCTGATGCCATCCAGAGGGCAGGGGCCCAGCAGGATTTCCAGGGCTGCCTCAGGAGCGTATGGATTCTCTTGCCCTTCTCAGACATCAGAACATGACTCCAGCCTTTCCCATTCTCTACTGATGGACGTGGGGATATGGGACCAGTGACTGGCTGGTCTGGATCTGGCCACAATCCGGCTAAGGAGCCCCTTGTAACAGAGCTGAGGACTGTAGCACAGTGAAGAAAATGCCCATGCACCTTGCCCACAGTAACCCAGGAAGCCTGCAGTTGGACCACCCATGTGCCAGTCCAGGACCTGACATAAGCCCCTCCATGGAAGTGGAGGAGAGATACCCACTAATGCGTCCCTCTCACCTGGGGAGCATGGGTGAGCCAGTCTCCACAGCCCATAGAGGTGGGCCGAGCTGGAGAGGAGATGCTGTTCCCTCCTTCCCTGGTGGGGCTGGCTCGGGGACACAGCAAAGCGAAGGACACCAACACCTCCATAAATATCTCTATTCATAAAACACTCTCAGAAACTAACAAAATATACAATCTAGGCCCCTAGTGAGGCTGGGCTGCGATTCCTTGCCATGCGGTGCAGCCAGGTTGGGCTGGGCTATGCTGCCTTGGAGACCCTCAGTGCACAGAGGCTGGCTCAACAAGGCCTCGGCGCTCTACCTGGGCACAGTACTTCTCAGGCAGGCCGGCAGCTCTAGAAACAAAGAAAACAAGGGAAGGGACGTCAAGCCCCAAGGTCCTGCTGCAGAATGCTGGGGTATGGGCCTGGCCCACGGCCCGATCCCCACGCTCTCCAGGTCCCACAGAGCCAGCTGGGAGGGCCACACTGGACTTGGCACTACCACCCTCCTTGCCATGGTCACTGGGGCCTTGGGCTGGTGAGGCAGGGGGCCTCTTCTCCATGGAATTTAAATCTGTCCCTCTGGCTGCTCCCCCTGGCGCCCTGCTGCCTGGTCACCATGAAGATGGGGCTGGTTCTGTTTGACCAAGAGGTAGGGGGCTGGCACCAGCTGGAGGGAATCTGCTGCCTCTTCCATCCCCACGTGTGTATGGTGGAGGAAGTGCTGGGGGGCAGAAAAGAGGGCTGGAGGGGAGGCTCCGAGTGTACTGAGGCAGAAGGGGAAGCCTTGGGGGCAGCCCTAGGCACCTTTCCTGCTCTTCCCAGCTAACACCAGTGAACTGTTTCAGCCCTGCTAACCAGCTTCCTCTGCTGGCCTGCCCAGCTCTGCTCAGTGGCTGCTCCTCCCCGCATCTCCCTGCCGACTCCATCACCTGCTCCCCATCATCTCCACAGCCCCCATCTACCCTGCTGGGCCCAGAACCAGGGAGTGGATTGTGACGTTGCACTCTATATGATTTTATGAAAATATGCTAATGTAACTGGAATATGCTTCATGCAAAAGGTCTCTTGTAAGGTATCATTACAAAGCTTATAATCTACTGAGTGTGGTCATCCTATTTGTATAAATGTATCACTCTTGTATCTGAAACTAGAAATATGAAATATAACTCTGAGGGCCTATTGTAATTATGCAAAGTGTGGGCCATTAATGGTGGTTTGGAATCTTGATGACTCCCATTAACCAGGACAATTGACTGCAGATGGCTCTAGGGTGACTAGATGTTAAGGGGAAAATATCAGGACTGCCGCAGTGGGGATGTTTTTTGTTTTTGTTTTTTTACACTCACACGTCCAGGAGTTCGGCAGCAATTCGGTGGAGAGCCCTTCAGTCGCGGACGGTCTTCAGCGGTATTTCGGTGGCGGGTAATAAACCTTGCCGCCAAAGACAGAAGCACCCGCTGCCGAAATACCGCCGAAGACCATCTGTGACTGAAGGACTCTCCACCGAATTGCCGCCGAAGACCAGGAAACAAAATATCGGGACAAATGGTGTCCCGACTGTACTCTGGTCGGGATGCGGGACAAACTCCTCAAAATCAGGACAGTCCCGATTTTATCGGGACGTCTGGTCACCCTAGATGGCTCTGTTTTACCTGTAAATCTTCCTGTATATGTGTGTGCTGGCAAGTGGGTAATGAAGTCTTACAGTGACATGTGATCATGTCACTTGAACTGGAACCATCTTTAACCTGGTGCTTTTCCATTGAGAGGGGGGGTGGGGGTTGGGAACCCAGAGGGACAAAGGATTCCCGTCTTATGCAAAAGATATATAAGTGGGTGGAACAGAGGAAAGGGGGAGCCATCATGAGGAATCCCCTAACTACCACCTGAGCTGGAACAAGGGCTGTACCAGGGGAAAGAATTGTGCCCAGACTAGGAAAGAAATGTATTGAAGCATCTCTGAGGGTGAGATCTTATCTGTATTCAGTTTCTTACTGTATTGGACATAGACTTGCGTGTTTTATTTTATTTTGCTTGGTAATTCACCTTGTTCTGTCTGTTACTACTTGGAACCACTTAAATCCTACTTTCTGTATTTGATAAAATCACTTTTTACTTAATAATTAACCAAGAGTATGTATTAATACCTGGGGAGGGGGTAGGCAAACAGCTGTGCATCTCTCTCTATCAGTGTTATAGAGGCCGAACAATTTATGAGTTTACTCTGTATAAGCTTTATACAGGGTAAAACAGATTTTTTGGGGTTTAGACCCCATTGGGAGTTGGGCATCTGAGTGTTAAAGACAAGAACACTTCTGTAAGCTGCTTTCAGTTAAGTCTGCAGCTTTGGGGCAAGTAATTCAGACCCTGGGTCTGTGTTGGAGCAGACGGGCGTGTCTGGCTCAGCAAGACAGGGTGCTGGGGTCCCGAGCTGGCAGGGAAATTAGGGCCAGAAGTAGTCTTGGCACATCAGTTGGCAGCTCCCAAGGGAGGTTCTGTGATCTAACCCGTCACATGGATATGGGGAGAGAAAGCAGGGATGGGGTTGTGACCCTAAACACCCCTGTATTCACACCCTACGCCCACGACAATGATCAAACTATCCTTGTGGGGTATCATTTGAAAAGCTACTAATACACAGGTCAATAATATCATTGTGGAATATATGTGACAAGTCCTTTGGGACTACGTTTTAAAGTCTGTATTTGAACAAAGTAGAAACATGTCTGCATAGGGCTGGCATACCAAAGAAGCAGGTGATTGGTAACAATGGGATGCAATTTACAATTGTGGTAAACAGAACCATTAAAGCTCACCAGGTGGTTGGGGAGTCAGCAAGTCTAGGCTATAAACAACTGCGTGTTCACTTGTCTAACCAGCCTCATCGTCAGGCAGAGACAATGAAGCTACATTTACATGAAAGGTAACAAAGCCATTCAGTGAATAAGGGGAAGATACCGCATACCTGTCTGCTGGCTGTTGGTGTCCGGGCTGTGAACTATGGCAGCAGAGCATTTACGGCATTCAGGGTTACAGGGCACAACCCCTTACTGGTCTGGATTGCACCCCAAACCGTAACGGGGTATCCTGCTGGACTGTGCTGCGTGAGCAGTGACCCTCTAAACCAGTGGCTCTCAAACTTTTTTACTGGTGACCCCTTTCACATAGCAAGCCTCTGAGTGCGACCCCCCCTTATGAATTAAAGGCACTTTTTTATATATTTAACACCATTATAAATGCTGGAGGCAAAAGGTTTGGGGTGGAGGTTGACAGCTCGCGACCCCCCCATGTAAAAACCTCACAACCCCCTGAGGGGTGCTGACCCCCAGTTTGAGAATCCCTGCTCTAAGCCCTTCCCACATCCCATGGCCTTTCCCCAGTACTATGAATGGGCTGATGTCATGCCAAGCCAAGCCCATCCCAGAAGCCCAGACTCCCAAGGCACAGGCCTCCTGCTTAGCCCTGCAACCTCACCTGAGCTCCTCCATCTTCTTCCTCTTGATCTCACTGATGCGCTCACTGCGCCGGCGTGCCTCTTCCTTCAGCCGCTTGCCCTCCTCGAAGGTAGCGATTCGCTCCTGCACCTGCTTCTGCTGGTGCTCGCGCACCTGGCGCCGCACCTGGTCAGCGTGGTTCAGATGCAGGGCTGCGCGCCGCTCCTGCTCCTTCCGCTCCTTTTCAATCTGATCCCGCTGGGCTCTGCAGGGCGACATTGTGCTGCATGACCCCTGTGCTCGAACTGCTGCCCGCCCCAGCAGCGGTGCGGGAAGGGCAGATAACGCTCTGTCCAAGGCTCTGACCCATGCCGCAGCCGTAAGTTCCTCCTGATGCATTCCAGTTTCACTTCCCCACTCACACTAAGCACCCTCCCATGCAGACAAGGGTTTCCTTGTTCTTGCTGCCGACTGCCCAGGCTGTGTCCTCCCACCGTGGCTTCAAGGGGGAAGCTGGGCTCCCCAGACAGGTCTGTAATGGGTAGGCTCCCAATGCGGTCCAAAGCTGATTGCAGTCTGAGCAGGCAGCTCAGGCCCAGTGTTTTGTCTGATGTGCCCGCCCATCTCCCAGGCTGAGCAGCCAGAGAGCAGCGTGAGCCTGGCATAAAAAGGGAGATTTTCTACAGAACCCCGCTTCCCACTATGCTGCTCGAGGGGCAGAAATGACACAGTGCATGCTGGGTAGAATTTTCTGATCATGTGATCAAAGATACACAAAACCATCGTCCATCTAAAGGAAATCCATGGTGTGAAAAGCCTCGGAAGGAAGCCCTGGTGCTGAGGGGACAGGAGATCAGCCCCAGTCCCTTCAGCACTGGACGGGGCAGAGGGAAGGTGCAGCATCACTGGGAACCCGGGCCCTGAACTACCTGGCTCTCCAGGGCTGGATCTCAGTTACTACATCAGTGACCCCACCAGCGCCACCCGTTCTACCTGAGGATCCTCTCAAACTCATTGCGGTCCCGCTGCACCTGCACAGCCAGGCTGTGCTCCTTGTGGGCTATCTGCTCCAGCCGACTCTTCTTCAGCATGGCCTCAGTCTCCGCCTTCCTCTGCGCAGCTTCCTTCTCCTTCTGGCGCCACTCTCGCTCGGTGGCCTCTTGGTTCCGCTTGGCCCTCAGCGCGTCCTGCCAGAAAGGGAGAGCACTGACTCCCGCTGCGAGCAGAGCAGGGACCCTAGGTGCACTGTGTGCACAGCTCCACATGCCTGATTGCTGCTCAGGACCTTGAGCTCCCTTTGTCTGGGCTACAGAGGAGCCAGCTGGGTTCTGTCCTGCCTCCTGCCCCCCCAGCACAGCGTCCAGCTATGTGCATGCTCCTACTAGTGATGCAGGACGGACCCAGCTGGAGTTGCTGAGCATGGGCAGAGGCAGTAGTGCTGGACGTTACAGAAACCCTGTTAGATTTGGGATCTGAGCTGAATGGAGGGAAGAGAGATACAGAACAATGGGTTGGTGCCATCTATGAGTTCTGCTGGCACCTAGCTCACAGCCTCAGGGTCCTCAGGGTCCTTCAGAGCCAACGATAATCTATAGCAGGGGTAGTCAATAGGCAGACTGTGGGCCAAATCCGGACCCCCAGACGCTTTTGAATGGACCCTGAAATCTTTTTACTTACTTATTATCATTATTATTGTTATTTTTTTTAATTTTCCCTGGAGTGTGGACCTGGACTGTACCTTGACCAAGAAATTTGGACCTTGACAAAAAATAATTGACTAGCCCAATCTATAGGATGCTGCAGCCACTCGTCTAATGCTGAGCCTCTGCAGCCACCTCCTGAGCAAGGCAGGCTGCTGGGAGTGCATAACACTAGGTTCTAGGACACATGGGTCCACCATGGGGTTGGTGAGATCTCCACAGCTCTGGGCTGGGGCCACCTGAGAGACCTGCCTCCCACCCCACCATGGCAGCAAGGCCTGGCTGTGCTCCTGAGGTGGCCTCTCCAGGACAAAGAGCAGAGCTTTCTCAGCCAGGGGCCCTTGCCCTGCCACAGCCCAGGTTAGAGCCTTGTGGACACGGGTTTCTCATGTCTCCCTTGCTTTGCTGTGAGACCCCCACGAGGTGCGCGAGGCGACAGCATCATTCCCGGTCCCTTGCCAAGGCGAGGGATGGGGTGAGACCTCCTCCCAGGGCAGGGGAAGGGAACGCTGCTCTACACCATGATGCCTCAACAGAGCAACACAACTGGTTTAACAAGGTCCATTTCTCAGTGCATTTCACTGAAATATCTCCCTCCTCAGAGCAGAGTGGGTGGAGTGAGGGGCTCACATAGCTCCTGGCTGGACAGCCAGCGGAGAAGAGAAGCTCCAGCTTCTCCATCTTACCTCTGTCCCAGCAGCCCTTGCTAGCCCCTTGCCAGCTCCAGCAAGGGGGACAGACATCCTGTGTGAAGGGAAGCTGCTAATTCCTTGGAGCTGGGGAAGGAGTTTGCTCAGGGGAACATGCTGCTAGATGCAAGTCTGTTGTAAAGAGAATGCAGCATCTCCCCGGGCTCCTTCCTTGGTCCCTTTGCCCACTGGCTCTGGAGAGTGCAGATGTAATGCACTCTGACCCGGTGTCCTGGACAGGGGGTGCGCCCCACCCATGCCCCCTACACCACTAGGGCTCTAGGGACTGGTCTAGCAAGAGGAACCATTCCCCTGCTACTCCCATTGGGTTTGTTGAGGTTTTGACTTGGCTGGGATGGAAGCAGGGGAGTGAGAGGCAGGGAGGGAGATGGACTGGCACAGAGGCAGGCTTAGCGAGCATGTTACCTGCTCTGCTTGGTAATCCTGGGCCTTTTCCTGCAATGCCCTCAGACGCGCGGTCTCCATCTCCTTCTCCCGACGGATCTTCTCCTGTTCAGCCTCAAACTCTGCTTCCCGTGCCTGGACCAGGTAAACAGTGCCGGGTCAATGAGCTGCACCCGGGCTGTTAACAGGTAAACCTTCCCCATCGCCACCACATGCAGGCGCACAGCATCATACACACCCAGTGTCTCTGTCTCTCGCTCACACACACATTTCTGACCCCCCTGTATAACACTGGCCAGAGAACTTCCCCCAAATAATTCCTAGAGCAGATATTTAGCTACACATCCAGACTTGTGATGGAGAATCCACCATGACCCTTAGTAAATTGTTCCCCTTCTTGTCTGGATTCCTTACAGGAGCCAGCATCTAGCTAGCCAGACATTCTCCCTCTGTTCTTAGCTGAACAACGCTCACGCACCAGAAAACGTGGTTCATACAGATGTGTGTTTCTGCCTGCGGGATATGGACATGCCAGCATCCATCAGCCCAGATGGATCTCGCTGATAGATTCACAGATATTAATGACAGAAGGAACCATTATGATGATCTAGTCTCAACTCCTGCATAGCACTGGCCAGGGAACCTCACCCCTCACCCAATAATTTCTGCACCTTGCCCAGAACTCCTGGCTGAACTAGAGCAGAACCTTCACAGTGACATGCAGCCTCAGTTTACTGGGCAGGAATGCCACCTGGTCTCTTGTACCACTGCCCACAGAACATACCATTTTCTGCTTCTGGTACTCCAGCACCCGCTGGTCAGCCATCCTCTCCTGTGCCAGCTGCTCCTCCTTACGCTGCTGGTTTTCATCATTGATACATTTAATCTCAGCCTGAATTTTCATCTTCTGCTCATGTCTGTGCTCCATGTCCTGAGAAAGGTACAAGGCAAGGTGGCCATGAGAGAGGGATCCCAGGAAAATGGCCCCAGCACAGACCCATTCTTGCTTTGGCATTTGCCTGGAGCCTTCTTGGTACCATGTACCAGGAGGGACAGAGGAGCCAGCTACTGGGCTGGGGCTGAAGAAGGGCCCCGTTGCTAATTGCTCACTTTCCAAGTGGGCTCCTTGTCTGCTTCCCATAGTCCTCAACCGTGAGGAGATTAACTAGCTCTGGGCTGCCCCTTCCCCTGGCCCCAGGGGATACTAGAGAGCCGGGGTCTGAGTCTCCTCTCACATGTGCTGGGTTGGCAACAGCGCCTCCTTACTTACACTGCTGGGAGCGAGAGGAGAGTGGTTGGACGGGCTCAGAATCAATCTCTGACACCTCACCTGTCTCTCTCTTACCCTCAGGTCTTCCATCTGCAGCTGCTCCAGATAATCCAGCATCTCCTGGGCCTCCTGATCCCGCTGCTCTGCCTTCATAGCCCTCTCCTGCTGGTTCTTCTCTATCTGCTTGATGAGATGTTGCCTCCCTCTGGGAACAGGACACAACAATATCTCTGGCAGGGAGACATGAGTGGCCCATCATATTGTCCCCGGCACAAATGCCTGCAAAACCTGCCTTGAGGGCTGCTATGCTGACCAGGCCCCATGGCCATACAGGCAGGTTTCTCCTGGTTTCCATGGGAAGTGCTGGGAGAGGGGCTGCACTATGACTAGCTCTGCCCAGTGCTGCAGAATCACCTGATCAGCTCCTGTTTCCTCTTCTGCTCCAGCTCCTCCTGCATCTTGGTGGCTTTCTGCCTCTCCACCTCCATCATCTGGTCCAGGCGCTTCTCCTCCTCCTCCAGCTCCTTTTCAATCAGCTGCTTCTCCAGCATCTGTGCATCGCGGATCGCCTGGCATTTTGCGTTCAGGATCATCTGTGGGGATAAAAAACCGCACTGGCTCAACCTTGCAGATGGGGGAGGGGCAGGGAGAGACAGTCCAAGAAGAAAGAAACAGAGACGGTGATCTAGTGGTTAGAGCAAAGAATTAGCTCTATTCCCAGCCATGCCACTGACTCACCATGTGCCCTCGGGCAGGTCTCTTAGCATTTCTGCACCCTGGTTTCCTCACATCTGAGTACAGCAAGGACAGCACGGCACAGGAGGCTGGTAATGACCCAAAGGTCTTCCCCACTCAGGTAACCAGGTCATATCCAGCCCAGGTCAGTAGGGACCGTAAGTCCATGCTATCAGATGGCTGGTACCATGTGGAATGAGTCTTGGTCCCACTCCTCGTAGACAGGTCATGATCTGCACCATCACAGCAGGCACCTTCCCTGACAGCCATTGCACAGGGGCCAAGAAGACTCAGCTTCCCTCTCCCTGTACAGGGTCCCTCCAGGGCAGTGCTGAGCTTGCCCTGCTTTGGATAAACCTGGCTCTGAGTGCCATGGGTCAGTGGGTACAGTGCTGACCTGCTTCGCAGAAGGGCCCAGTTATCGGGGAGAGGGGCAGACTGCAGAGCAGAGAGCCTGAGACCCCACCTCACTGAGCTCCTTGACCTCGTCCTCCTGCTCCATGCGCATCCTGTTGGCCCGCTGCAGCAGGTACTGGGCTCGCTCCTTGGCCTCCTCCTCCAGGTCGCTCAGCTTCTCCTTCTTCTTCTGCACTATCCCCTTCTGCTTCATGGTGTTCTTGCGCTCATTCACCCCGGCCTGGAGGGGAAAGGCGGGCTGCTGACAGGGATCCCCACACCACATTCCTGGCACTGGAGAGCCTGGCTGACTCTGCCATAGGAACCCTCGCTCCAGAGTGCTGCCACAAGCCAGAGTCTTCTGGGCCAGCACCACCATGACACCATATCTGGGTGGGGGTCGACCTGCACGGGGGGTGCTTCAGGGAGGCAGCACTGCTGAGGGAGACGCTCAAATCCTATCGTGTCCGAGACAGGAGAGCTGCCTGGAACCATGGCCTCTGCAATATTCCCCCCGATCCTGTGCTCATGAGCCAGCGGCTTTGTGCAGAATGCTCCTTCCTACATGGGATCCCTGAGTTTGGTACCAGCCACCCACGTCCATTAACTGAACCACTCTCTCCCCTGCCAGAACTTCCTGAGGTTGTAGCACTGCGGTCTCCCCACCCCCACGGGGTGAGGATTCTCACTGGGATATGAACTGTGGGGGCTGGGCAATCCCTACACCCCTCCATCAGAGGGCCTGGACTTGCTCCCTTGGGTCCCAGCGTAGGGTACAAGTTCCATGTCTCTGCTGCTTGGAGCATTGGGTGGAGAGCTCTTTCCAGCGCTCGGCCAATCGCTAGGAGCCACCAGGGGTCACTCTGGAGCACAATGACCCCTCTCCCCTGACAGTTTGGGAAGCAGTTTGGGGTTAGCAGCATAAACAGTTTGCTGGCCCACAGACATGAGCTTACCCAGGGGCTTCCTCTGTAAAGCCCTACATGGTTTGGGGCCTGGCTGGTCAAGAACCCCACCCCATCCTTGCAGTCTGCACCCCACTGTGACACGCGGTACCTCGGGGGAACACCCTACAGCCCCATGTTCATCTTTATAAAATGACTGCGTGGTATCCAATGCAAAGTTTGTCATGTTGGGTGTCTTCGGAAGAATCATAATGCACCGAGCATGGTTGTTATAGTGATGTTATAGTAATTGTTACAGTAATGATATAGTAAGGTTATAGGTTATAATTTCATGTATATAGTTATGAGGCTGAAAATGTCTCCTCATGGTTTAAAGCAAGCCCAGGCAAAAACTCTCCAAGAGCAGAGAGGCAGTTCACGCCTCGTCAGGGCATGGATGGGACAAACCCAGCCCAGTCTCACAGGAACAATGGACACTGGCTCAGGCAGCAACAAAAGAATCTGTTAGACCAGGGGTGGGCAAACTTTTTGGGCTGAGGGGCACATCTGGGTGGGGAAATTGTATGCAGGGCCAGAGCAGGGGGTTGGGGTGCAGGAGGAAGCGCGGGGTGTGGGAGGGGGTGTGGTGTGCAGGAAGGGGCTCAGGGCAAGGGATTGGGGCAGAGGAGGGGTACAGGGTGCATGAGGGGGCTCAGGGAAGGGGTTGGGGTGCGAGGAGGGATGCGGCGTGGCAGGAGGGGCTCAGGGCAGGGGGTTGGGGTGCACAGGGGTTCAGGGTGCAGTAGGGACTCAGGGCAGGGAGTTGGGGGTGCAGGAGGGATGCAGGGTGCAGGCAGGGGGCTTAGGACAGGGAGTTGGGGGGGCGGGATGCAGGAGGGGTTCGGGCTCCAGCCCGGCGCCGCTTATCTCAAGCGACTCCGGGGTGGCAGCGGCGTGCACCGGGGCCAGGGCAGGCTCCCAGCACGCCTGCCCTGTCCCCGGCCCCGCGCCGCTCCAGGAAGCACTGCGGTCCCTGGGGGACAGGGGGAGGAGGGCTCCGCATGCGCTGCCTTTGCCGCGCTTTCAGGTACCTCCCCCGAAGCTCCCATTGGCCACGGTTCCCTGTCCCCGGCCAATGGGAGCTGCGGGGGTGGTGCCTGCACGCAGGGGCAACGCATGGAGCCCTTTGCCCCCTCACCCGGGGGCCGCAGGGACGTGGTGCCGGTGGCGCCGCAGGCCAGATCCAAAACCCTGAGGGGCCGGATCCGGCCCGTGGGCCATAGTTTGCCCACCCTTGTGTTAGACCCTCGAGGGAGTCACCCCCTTCCTTTGGGCAGTATGGGACTGCGATGAGGTAATGCTCACCTGACTCTGAAGGGGTAAGGGGGCAAAGCCAAGATGAAATGCTGATCAAAGGGGAGAGCCTGACTGAAAAGTAACCAGCCAGCCTGTGGTGAGAAGCATCTAAGTTTTTAAGGACATTGAAAGTGTTAAGATCAACTTAGAATGCATTTTGCTTTTATTTCATTTGACCAAATCTGACTTGTTGTGCTTTGACTTATAATCACTTAAAATCGATCTTTATAGTTAATAAATCTGTTTGTTTACTGTACCTGAAGCAGCGCGTTTGGTTTGCAGTGTCAGAGGCTCTTGGGATAACAAGCCTGGGACATATCAATTTCTTTGTTAAATTGATGAACTTATATAAATTTGCAGCGTCCAGTGGGCATAACTGGACACTGCAAGACGGAGGTTCCTAGGGCTGTGTCTGGGACTGGAGATATTGGCTAGTGTCATTCGCTTGCAAGTAGCTGGGAGCAGCTTACATGCCAGAGGCTGTGCGTGAACAGCCCAGGAGTGGGGGTTCTCACAGCAGAGCAGGGTAAGGCTGGCTCCCAGAGTCAAGGATTGGAGTGGCCTAGCAGATCACCGGTCTAGACAACACCAGAGGGGAACGTCACACTCACCTCCCCATCTCTCTAGCCCAATGGCCTCTGGCAAGCAAGAGCTGGACCCAGCACACCAGGAATGTCTGGGGTGGCTGCCGTAGCCCCTTCAGTGAGCCTTTCCCCACAAAGTCAACCCTACATGGCCATTTCAAACAGCATCCTGGAATCTGCCTACAAACCAGCTGACAAAAAGGAAGTGACAGGAGACACATACTATAACAGCTTCCTTCTCTGCCTTGAGGGCTGCTATGCTGGCCTCGCGCTCCTCCTTGGTCAGGACTCGGGATGCTGTCTTAATGCGGTGGAAATCCTCTGGGCTCATAATGAGGGATTCTCCCGACGGGTCCTCTGCAGGAACACTGGCAGAACAAGTGAGCAGGGCACAGAGAGCAGAGTCACTGACATGGATTCTCCCTACCCCCACCTCGCACACACTTCTCCATAACCAGAGATACAGGTCAGCCTGGGAAATGCCTGGTGGCAGGGCTGCCCGGGGGAGGGCAAATGGGGCAATTTGCCCCAGGCCCCGGGCCCCACAGGGGCCCCCACAAGAGTTTTTCGGGGCTCCTGGAGCGGGGTCCTTCACTTGGCCCCCAGAGCTTCTTCCGCTCTGGGTCTTCAGCAGCTGCGGGGGGTCCTTCCGCGCCGGGACCCACCACTGAAGTGCCCCGAAGACCCGTGGCGGGGGGTCCTTCCGTCCCGGGACCCGCCGCCAAAGTGCCGGGATTTCAGCAGCAATTCGGCGGCAGATCCTGTGGTGCTGCCTGCAATAGGGGTTACCGGATCCATGGAAGGACCGTGTGAGTGACTGAGCCAGCAGACACACACACAAGAGGGCCCAGATCCACAAGGGACATTGCCACGCTGAGCATGGCAATGCCTAAGATCTGGCACCCTACCACCCAGTGGAATCCACAAAGCCTGAATTAGGCTCCTGGGCTCTCTACACAATGTATGGGGAGAGATAGGTGCCTGAGAATGAGATCCGCCAAAGCCAGCACGCTAGGCGGGGAGCTGCCTAAATCAGCCAATCACAGATACTGACAAGAGGGGTGTGTTCTAAGCCCCGCCCCTCTCCAGGACTTAGGCTCCTCAGCCCAGGCTAGCGGAAGGCACCTATTTCTGCTTGGGATCCACATCTGGGTTCCCTCTCCTGGAGTCACGTGCCTAAGCCACTTCTTCCAAGAAGAGTGGCATGCGCCCCACTCCATACAAAATGGGAGGGGAAGGAGGAGGCCTCCCTTGCAATCTTTAGCCATCCTGTGCCGGAAGTGGAGAAGGGATTTGGGTGTAAAGTCATTGGCACTGCCTTTGGCCTGATGCCTATTTCATTATTTATACAAAGTGGAACACCTTCATCAGGAGATATGGAGAGCCCTGCCCCAGAACACCCCATAGCCCTGTGATTAGGGCACTCACCTGAGAGGTGGGAAACCCCTGTTCAAATCTGTTCTCCTCAACAGGCAAAGGAGGGAATTGAATCAGGGTCTCCCACACCCCAGATGGGTACATAATTGCTGCACTAAAGGGTAGAGGGGAGTTCCTCCTTGTCCCCTCTCCCAGGCCAGTTAGGCATGCTCAGAGCACACCAATCAGAGCAGGTCCTGCAAGCCAGATTTGAGGATCACATTAGGAAATAGACAGGTGCCCAAACACCTATGGGAGCGGTGTCCATGCCCAGAGGCAAAAACTTAGGTGCCTTGGGGACTTTTACAATGAACATTGTAGGTGTCTACAGGGTTAGGCAGCAGCAGAGCAGGGATTTGGTGAACTGCCGTGGTACCCAAAACTGGACCTTTGTGTATATGGGTCAAAGTGCCTGGGCCTAGTGTGGGGAGTAGGCAATGGTGCTTCAGGAAGAGCACTGCCAGGTTTGTGGGGAAGGGAGAGCCCCAAACCCCAGTGAGAGCAGTATAATGCTATCACACACTGGGCAAACTGACCTCACTCCAAGAGTGACGGTGGTTAGACATCTCCAGTGATACTGTGTACGTGCGGAAAATCAAAGACTCCCCTTCATACGACTCCAGGGCAAACATCCAAACCATCGAACACATCATAATGCAGAACCCCAAATACGGATTCAAAGGTGAACTGGGTGATATCCACAACGTCACAGAGGAGGCCTTGAAATGGCTTATCGACCTGCAAGTGCATCTACAGAATGTTGCTCTATAGATGCCATACATGCACATGAAAGAGAGGGGCAGTACTGTACAAAGACAATCATGACTAAACCCAATCTCAAAGCCTATAGGCCAGCTTTCCTCCAGGGACTGGATTTGATCCATATGGAGGTTGGATAGAACCACATGATACCGAACAGCACAAGGTGCATCTGTAACAGCATGATGCCAACAGGTCATTTCCTGTGGACTCCCCATGAGTTTGAATGGAATCACAAAAACACTATGTGTGGAGCTATTTAGCCCCTGGTAAAAGAAGTTCAAAACATTTCAGAGTCGGACTTGAATTTCCCAACTTTTTGTGAAAGCAGCTCAACTGTCATCCTGGTGCTTTCACCAGTTTCAGTGGGACATGATCGTCTTCACTGCCTGTCCTCAGCAGCAAGTCAGCACCGCTGTGCACTGTCAAACAGCTGTTGTTCTCCACTCCAGTGATGTTTGCATTTCAGAAATGGATATGTAATCCCTGTGCCTAGTTTGTATGGCAGTTTGTTGAGATTGCAAAGTGTATTGAGTCTCTAGGGATAGAAGATACCAGGGAAATATAAGGACACTGTCCTAACCAGGAAACAGAAAACACCTGCATGCTACACACATTGCTCACAAATGACCCTTAAAGGGTTAATATCTTTATATGAGGCAGTATAGTTTCCTGTAATGAGCACAGAATGAGGAAACAGAAGCAACTGAATTCTAGTCCCAGTTCTGCAGTTGACTCACTGCGTGACCTAGGGGAAGCTGACCGTGCCCCCATTTTCCCAGTTGTAAAATGTGATAATATGGGCCTATTTCCCAGAGAAGTTCTAAGAAATAAATGACTCTGTGTACTACTCAGATACCATGGTGATGGGCGCGGTATAAGAACGTGAATAGAAGAGAGTATGTAAGGCACTTTGAAGATGTTCAGTGCTAAGTATTTAATAATTATTAATTATATGTTGCCTTTCATCCACCCACATAGTGATACCTGCTTAATGACTTCTTCAAAGATGACAGCAGCAGACTGGATTTCAGAAACACTTCAAAGAATGGTTAATAGTAATAATAATAATATCATTGCTGTACTTAGAACCTTTCATCCCAGAGGATCCCAGAGCCACCTTGTCAAATGACACATTAACCTGAGGTGCCTCAGTGTTTGGGTGCCCAGCCTGAGTCATCTTGGGCCTGATTTTCAGGCGCTCCCATTGACTTCTATTGGAGCTCTGGCTGCTCAGCGTCTCTAGAAGTCAGCTCCCAGGGGTCTCAAACTGGGTGCCCAAAAAATTGGAGTGCTCAACATCAGTAGTCACCCTTGAAAACATTAACCAGAGTGCCTTGGATCATTTCACCTACCACAAAAATGAACCCACCTCTGGAGTGAGACGTGATGGCTGTTTAACAATGCACAGTAACACTACACAACAGCTCAAGCCAGGAGGTGAAGAAGAATCCTGCATGCAGTTAAAACGGCAGGGAAAATTTAGGGAGGCAGAAAGTAATTGTGTGAACTGGTATTTGGCCAGGACAATAGCCCCGTTCTTGCAAAGTGCTGTGGGTTCTTTAATGAGTACTCATGGCCCTTCTTTTACATTTCAGTCCTGCTTAGAAAACATTCCTGGAGCAATCCACAGCCCTGTCTGCTGGGTGTTGACAATGCACTATTTTCTGTACTTAAGCTGCCTTTCATACATATGGGGACATATAGGGCAGTGTTTGACCAATCACTGCTTATGTCCTGAAGGTGCTCTGTGCTGCTCCTGTCCTGCATATACTATTGACTGAACAAGAGGGGCCTGTAATGTGGCCACTGAGGGAGGGAGCTTTATAGAACAGGGTGCTAACAGTGCTCTCTGACTGGCTCTCAAGAAGAGTCACTCCCCTACACGATGCCTAACTCACTTCACACCTCAAACCAGGGATTCCAGGGGATTGCCACTTGCTTCATCTCCAGGAGGCTACACAGTAAGGGCTAGCCTAGCACGGTAGCGCTTTCATAGGACAGGAATGCAGCCCCATGGGGTCCCTGACACAACCTCAAAGCAGAGGCTCAGGTGCTGGCTTACATGAGATCACGGATGAGGTCCCTGGTGATGAGGCGGATGGTCTCAGGTTTGTGGCTCCAGCCACAGGCAGAGGGTGATTTCTGGACAGTCTGCACATCCCGTAGGATCACTAGGGGGCTGCCAGAGCATGATCGCTGCAGGTTCTGAAAGAAAGAAAGAAAGAAAGAAAGAAAGAGGGTCTTCTCAGGGTTGCTCATTGCTCCCCACACAAAACACATCTTTGGAATCCTGATGTATTTCTCCCCTGGCTCCTGTGCATGGCTGTACCATTGTGAGAGCACTGATCCCAAGCACTAACTTACCACAGAACATTCATGACCCTTTCTGGCAAACATCCTGACAGACTGCTGGGTCAGGGAACAGGAGCTGAAGCCTTTCACCTGGTTCTAATCCAGGCCAAACACCAGCCCCTTTCTAGCCCTAGTCACCAGAACCTGAAGGATATTCTCTCCTAACAGCTGTTTAGGTGCAAGCATCAGCCCTGGTCCATGAACATTTGGTGAACTGAGCTGACAGTAACAGAGGGGTAGCCATGTTAGTCTGAATCTGTAAAAAGCAACAGCTTATGCGCCAATACTTCTGTTAGTCTTAAAGGTGCCACAGGACCCTCTGTTGCTTTGAGCTGACAGTGTTCACAATCCATCTGCCTAATGCCCCAGGAATAGCCGTACTTACTTTGGGGGGGCTGGTGGCCTATCCCCCTCTCTAGTTCTGTATGGGGCCTGGCAGAAGCAAGAAGCTAAAAGCAGAAAGGAGTGAGGACAAGTTGGCCCAGCTCTCCCAAGGGCAGACAGTAAGTAGGAGGGGTAGTGGGAGATCCTTTGGAGGTTTGGATTCTGTAGGAGCCAAGGACCCAGCCCCTGTCACAGGCACTGGATCCTGCAGAATAGATTAATTCAGCCCTAGAAATGAACCTTTCAAAGAATAACTTTCCCTAAAGCTGGTCCTGTCCCCATTCATTTGAGCTGACATTGCCACCTAGTGAACAATCCAGCACACTCCACGGGTGATTCAGCTAGACCAGCCTGAAGGTTCTTGTGCTGTCTTCTGATACAAAAACATGTATCAGTGCAAGAGGTATGTTAAAGCACCATGAAGGTAAAAAGTTCAAATGCACAAACCCAAGAAACTGAAAGATGATGGTCTCCAGAACAGTGTTAACTGAGCCATGTGGAGATTAGAGATGGACTGTGGTGCTGAGATGGACCCAGTGCAGAATGGTCCCAGGGCGGTGAATGCAGCATACTGAATAGTGCTGCGTCTGCAGTACCTCAAAGCTCTTTGCAAACCTTGACTAATTCATCCTCATGAGGCAAAGCAAACATTATTATGCCCATTTTACAGATGGGGGAAACAGACCCAGAGAGGACAGATTGGGTCCTGTGACACCTGCCTAGAAATAGATGTGCAATGTGGCTAAGATAATGCTGCTCTGGAGACTGTAACTTTGGACTGACTTGTCTGTGTCTGAATTCTCAAGATTAATATAATCTACCTGTCAATGTAGCGTCTAAGTGGTGAATGATGAAATAACAGTGTTAGCGCTGAATTACCTACCCTTTAACACAAAGAAATTTATTCCTATCTATGACTGAGTCAGCCAGTCCTCTGGTTCCCATGGAACACATTGGGGGTGGCTGTGTTTACTCTGTGTTGTCACACATATCGAGGAACTCAATTAATGCTACAGTGATTACTACAATAAACTCCCCACTGATAAACAATATCAGCCTGGAGGCTTGTGTGATATCAGATCATAAACCTGTCTAGGGCTCTTCTGGCACTAGTCTGGCCTTTAATACAGCAAGTCCCAGACTTCAGGCCAATACTCATTCCCCAGACTCCTCCTCCTTCTGGACCAGCCTCTTGAGAAACCTGAAGTTTCAAAGGGCAGTTACCGTTCATTTACCCACATTTTCTATCTCTGCTCTCCTAACCCAGAAATGGCCAAAAGGGTTTTACTCCGTTTTCTCTGAAAGAATCATCTTGGGAGTGAGGCCCAAATAGGAAGTTTTAGCCCAAACCAGCCATTTTGGATAAATGAATGGAACACATCCTTCACAAGTCGCTAGAGTGCAGCAACCAGCATTTATGGGACTGGGAGCCAGCAGCAGCTCCTGGCTTATTCAGCTCTTCCCCTTGTGGCTGAATAAAGATGTTCTCAGTCTGTGTTGACTGAGTAGCCACTAAAGTAGGGATGGGCAAACTACGGCCCGCGGGCCAGATGCCGTTTTAAGCCAACCCGCAAGCTCCTGCTGGGAAGAAGGGTCGGGGGCCGCACCACACGGCTCGGCCCTGCTCCGGCTGGGGTGCTGGGTCAGGGGCCGCACCATGCAGCTCGGCCCCGCTCCGGCCGGGGCACTGAGTCGGGGGCCCCACCAGCAGCTCGGCCCCGCTCCGGCTGGGGCGCAGGGTCTGGGGCCGGACCACGTGGCTCCCAGAAGCCGCGGCATGGCCCTGCTCCGGCTCCTACACGCTCCAGTGGCCCCTTCTGGCGCTCCAATGGGAGCTGCAGGGGCGATGCCTGTGGACAGGGTAGCGTGCAGAGCTGCCCGGCCGCACCTCCACATAGGAGCCGGAGAAGAGACATGCCACTGCTTCCGGGAGGCGCTTGAGGTAAGCGCTGCTCAGAGCCTGCACCCCTGAGCCTCTCCCCATGCCCCAACCCCCTGCCCCAGCCCTGATCCCCTCTCCCGCTCTCCAAACCCCCCAATCCAAGCCCGGAGCACCCTCCTGCACCCCAAACCTCTCATCCCCAGCCCCACCCCAGAGCCCGCACCCCCAGCAGGAACCTGCACCCCTTCCTGCATTCCTGCCCCCGCCCTGATCCCCCTCCTGCCCTCCAAACTCCTCAGTCCCAGCCCAAAGCACCCTGCTACATCCCCAGACGCACCCCAGAGCCCGCAGCCCCAACCAGAGCCCTCACCCCCTCCTGCACCCCAATCCCAATTTTGTGAGAATTCATGGCCCGCCATATAATTTCTATTCCCCGATGTGGCCCTTGGGCCAAAAAGTTTGCCCATCCCTGCACTAAAGCCTTGCCTTCTCTGCTAGAAAGGAGTATAGCACATGAGCTGTCTCATAAGGAAAACCCAGTGAAGACAACAGGCACTAGTTTCACTGGGAGTTAAGCTCCAGGAGGGGGTATAGTGCTGACCTCACCTTGTTTCCCTCATGGTAAAACTAAAGGCCCAGATCCACAGAGGGACTTAGGCATGGCAACACCAAGCTTTGCAACACCTAACTTTTAGACTTCTAAAAAAATGACTGGAACAAACACTGTGATCCACAAATCTGAGTAAGGCACCTAGGCGACACTACAATGAACTGGTGCCTTATACAGTGACTCACAAAAACCAGCATGTTAAGCGGGGTATTGCCTAAGCTTGCCGATGAGATGCGCATGTCCTAGCCCCCCACCCCACAGAGTTCAGCACCTAAATCTGGGCTGCAAGGGAGGTGCCTCTCTCCGCTTGAGATCCAGAGCCGAACTCGTCTCGTGGAGTCACATGGCTTAGGTGCCTCAGCTGTTTCTTATGAGAATGAGTTTGGGTCTGCCTAACTATACGTACAATGGCTAGGGTTGAGGGAGAAAGGCAACTCTCCTGTAACCTTTAGCCCAGGGGTCAGGGTACTCACCTAGTATATGGGAGATCCTGGGTCAATTCCCCCTCTGCCTGATGAGAGGAAGGGATTTGAACAAGGATTCCCCACTTCTCAGGTGAACACCCTAACCACCAGACTGTGGAGTGACTGTTGCTCTATGTCTGCCCCAATTAATAACAAGATAAAATTCAATAACAATAAGTGCAAAGTACTTCACTTAGGAAAGAAAAATCAAATGCACAACTACACAATGGGGAATAACTGGCTAGGAGGTGGTACTGCTGCTGAAAAGAGCTGTGGTTATTGTGGATCACAAATTGAATACGAGTCAGCAATGGGATGCAGTAGAGAAAAAGGCTAATGTCATCTATGGTGTATTGACAGCAGTATCATATGTAAGACATGGGAGGTGACTGCCCACTCTGCCCAGCACTGGGGAGGCCTCAGCTGGAGTAGCGTGTGCAATTCTGGGTGCCACACACTAGGAAAAATGTGGACAAATTGGACAGTCCAGAGGAGAGCAACAAAAATGATAAAAAGGTTCAGAAAATCTGACCTATGAGTAAGGTTAAAAAAACTGGGCGTGTTTAGACTTGAAAAAAGACAACTGAGAGGGGAACCTAATAACATACTTGAAGACTGTTAAGGGCTGTTATAAATAGACTGGTAATCGATTGTTCTCCATGTCCACTGAAGGTAGGACAAGAAGTAATGGGCTTAATCTGCAGCAAGGGAGATTTAGGTTAGATATTGGGGAAAACATTCCAACTATAAGGAGAGTTATGACTGGAAAAGGTTTCCAAGGGAGGTTGCGGACTCCTCGACATTGGAAGTTTTTAAGAACAGGTTGGAGAAACACCTGACAGGGATGGTCTAGGCCAGAGGTGGGCAAACTACAGCCCGGGGGACTGGACTTGATGACTTCTCAAGGCCCTGTCCGGCCCAGTGCTCCTATGATTCTATGACAGTGGTTCTCAAACTTTTGTACTGGTGACCCCTTTTACATAGCAAGCCTCTGAGTACGACCCCCCTTATAAATTAAAAACACTTTTTTATATATTTAACATCATTATAAATGCTGGAGGCGAAGCGAGGTTTGGGGTGGAGGCTGGCAGTTCACAAACCCCCATGTAATAACCTCGCGACCCCCTGAGGGGTCCCAACCCTCAGTGTGAGAACCCCTGTGCTATGAATATTTAATTATTGAGAATATTCAATAATTTCATTACAATAGAACTATTTCAACAGGAGAGATGGAGGAACCCACATCAGAATATCCCATAGTTCAATGGCTAAGACACTTGAGAGGGGAAATCCCTCCTCCTCATATCTCCCCATCCCATGTGCTCTAACCACCAGCCTATAAAGCAAATCCTCTCTCTGCCCCAATGACTATTTAATCCAAAGTGGAATAGCTTAAACAGGAGAGATTGAGGGATATTCACATCAGACTATCACATAGCCCAGCGGTTAAGACACTCTCCTGAGAGGCGTGAGACTGGCCCCTCCCCAGCCCCCTTTCAAATCCTTTCTCCACATCAGACAAAGCAGGAAATTAAACTTGGGTCTCCTAAATCCTAGGTGAATGCTCAGTAGCATAGCTAGCAGGGTGCAGGGGAAGCAGCCGCTTCCCCTTACCCCTTTTCCCAAAAGCGGCGCCTTTCCAAAGACAGCCGCCGGCCGGAGGAGCAAGGGTGGGGCGCAGGCTGGCCGCCCGCAGCATGGCCGGAGGAGCAAGAGGGGAGCGCAGGCTGACTATCATGAGTGGAACAGCTTCAACAGGAGAGATTGAGAGTGCCTCCCATCAGACAGAGAGGGGAATTAAACCAATATCTCCATATCCCAGATGAGCATTCTCAACAGTGTGCTAAAACTTGTAAGATCACTACTGCTACCTCCTCCTCCTCCAGGATTTTGAATGATGCCTGATGTGGTAGGTTTCAGAGTAGCAGCCGTGTTAGTCTGTATCCGCAAAAAGAACAGAAGTACTTGTGGCACCTTAGAGACTAACAAATTTATTAGAGCATAAGCTTTCGTGGACTACAGCCCACTTCTGTGCATCCGAAGAAGTGGG